GTAAATCCCGCAGCTCCAACATTTTTTTTTTCCTGGAGGATTGTTAAATTTGGGTTGTGGTGCCCGTAGATTTTCGTTATTGTGGAGCATACTAAAATAGCGCTCTGTGATACCCGGAGGCAAGTTAATTTATGCACAAGACTTTCCAGTCGATTCATGTTATGCGTTGTTTGTCAGTCGTGTGTAGGCATCGTTGTTTGTCATCGTTGTTTGTCAGTCGTGTGTAAACCAAATAAGAGGAGGTACTACAACGAAATTTACTGATTATATTAATAACACAAAAAGGCCACGCAGAGAATATGACACAAATAAAGCTTCCTGTAAAGGTCATTTCTAGGATATGATAGGTCATATGAGGATAAGATAGCTTATATAATAGGATTATAGAAAATAATGAAGAAAATCTCATGTGAAAGAAGAAAGATTAAATTGCAAAAAAATATGTAAAAAACCGAGGAAATCATAAACTCTGTGTCACCATATCATGTTCGCTATATATTACGTTTTAAACATCAAATGAAAAACTGGCTTAATAATTTTGTTCGTAAGATCTTGCCATATACAGACTCATTAAGGTTTTTAGAATTGGCGGAATATGCGTAATTTTAAGGTGTTTTACCAAGCTTTCTGTATTGATATTTGTGTTATTTTTTCAGGTGCCCCGACCCATCCAGCTATAACATAAATTGCATCACTTATCGCGACCAATGCCAATATGACAGCGAATGCAAAAGGGGTCAGAAATGCTGCCTCGTGGCTGGGTGTGGCCGCATGTGCGTGCCTTTCTAATGCCTCGCAGGTAAGACGGTGCATCACAAAGGAATTTTAACGAGTATGGTATATCGAGGCAGGGTTTCGTACTTAATCGTACATAATTGTTTTTCAACGGTAACTGCTGTATCTGTTCTTAAATTGGGCTGCCACATCTTGAGATTTTTTCTATCTTGTAGAATCAACAAATGCTCTATTGAGGTAGGATTTCAGAATCGTTATAATGTTGACATACCATAATCTGGTCACGTAATTGATGTAATCTAAAAATCTTGGAATAGATTATCCTCCCTTGGGCTATCTAAATAAATACCGGATGAGCAGTATCATAAAACAAAAAAAAAGCAAATATATAATACATATTGAACCAAAAAAAAGAGGTACATGATTTTTTGTTATTAAGCGATTATGTTCTGCAAAGAGCCGTCTATGCGTTGTAATTGATAAACGTTTACATTATTTTATATGATGCAGTATAACAAAAGTACATCAGCTGTATATTTTCAGTTATTTCATTTATTGATTTAATCTTAATTTTAATCATCAAAAAGTGTTAATAGTGATACCAAATACCTGTCATAATCTCTGCTGTTCTAATGATGAGGATCAAGATAATAATGATTGTAATAATAGTAATAATAATGATAATAATGATAAATATAATGATAATAATGATCATCACAAAATTCTCATAATGATCATAATCATAATAATAATAATGATAATAATAAAAATGGTACCAAAATGACACTAATGCTACTAATGATAATGGTACTAATACTAATACTAATAATGATAATAATATTGATAATGATGAGGACAATGATAATGATATAATGTTTCTGACAAAAATAATGATGAAATAATGCTACGGATGACGGTGATGATGAAATGAGTAGAGATAATAATGATATCTTTATGAATATAAATATCACTAAAGAATTATTTCTTCTATCATGCATGTACCGAGTGACGCACCATCCACTGCAAACGTCGCTATTTTCAGAAAGGCTTGATATAAGTCGTTCTATCGCAGCTTAACAAGGCCTGACGTGACCGGAGAGGAAACAGGACCTGGAGTATTTCCAAACTTTTCCTTCTAATCTTAGCGTATATTCATTATTTCCTTCCTAAAATACCGCCCGTTTCCTAGGGGCGGAAATGACCATTATTAAGGCGTCTGGTTTTCCCAAGTCTCTTGGATGTTCAGCCATAAGAGCTACGAGCCATCTTACGCAAGAATAGATTGTGGCAAATGTGGAATAAAAGTCTGGATGTGAATGAATAAATGCCTTACCTTTTAGAATTATTAATTGCCATTCTTCTTTTCACCTCCCTGACGTACAGTAACCTACGAAAAGCACACGTTATTGTACATGTGCACATATAATGCATTAACATAACATTAAATCCTAATAGAATCTCTTCTAGTTCACAGAATATTTCAGTACATATTTCAATGAACAAAATATACTACATGGCCACTGCATTAGTTATTTTCCTCCTACGATAAAAGGAACAGACTGTAATATCCATTTTATCTTCCTTATATCAGAACACGGCGACAGATTACCTTCGGAAACAGACTGGCATCTTCGGATCATCACAATCTGTAACGACCCTGTATTAACTGCTGTATTCGATTTAGAGTAGACTAGATAATCACTGTATTGTATTTCAGATATATTCAGATGTATTTACAATATACATATAAACTGCATAACTTTTT